TTTGTTCATTGTAAAGTAGTATGACTACAATAGAGCCAAAGATGCAGGGGGACGTGTTTGTGTAACTTGAGTCATTCAGCACAGGCGATGCATGATTCTTGTACACTACTAGGAATAGTTCAAAATGCCAGCTAATAATGTAGTCCTCCCATTCTCCATTGTTGCCCAATCTAATGCATACGAACGATTGTCCTGCTCCAGCCCAGTATGCCCATCATTCAACTTTCTTGATCCGATGAGATTTGACTGAAAAATGCTCAAACACAGGAACATCATCCAATATCAGAAGAATCAAATTGGTTAAGTTATTTGTAAACTGCCACTTGATAGCCCATTCCTCCCAATCACCTTTGTTACCCAATCCAATGCATGTGAACGATTGCCCTGCTCCAGCCCAACATCTCCATCATTTAACTTTCTTGATCCGAGAGGTTTTGACCGAGTTACGCTCAAACACAGAAGTATCATCCAACAACAGTTCAACTCTAATTTCCACTTCTTCCACTCCCAGCTTCTTCCCTCTTGCTCCCCATTCTCAACCGTTGGCCCATTCAAGTACAATTACCACCAGCGAACGATTGTCCTGCTTCAACTCCTCATGTCAACCCTACAACTGCCTTGATCCGATTGCTTTCGACTGAATGGCAAGTCAATGGCGTGTACACAGCCTTCTTGTCACTCTTCTACAACACACGGGTCTCTTGACATAACACACGCTCTTGCACGCTACTCGACCACAATCAAACGTAACAGCATTCATTCCAGCAGTTGCTATTAGCAAGATCTCTACTCCTTTGTCTCCAAAGGCGTTCTTTACTTGCAGCAACTTGTTTACAGTCTTGTTCACGTGCACAGCAGATAGCCAGCCACTATGTAGAAGCAGCCTTATTTACGTGCATCAACTTGATTCAATACATACGAATTCCTATGGATATGGATATGGATATTGGTTTGGTACATGGATGGAAGGAATTGGGTATATTGACAACGTTGGTTTCCATCGCCACGTGATGTCTTGTTTGGATGATACCACGTTGACTTGCGATGGAAAATGACCACACATGCGAGTGATCATCACCCCGAATGGAAAAGGAAGCATATCAGCAGCAATCACAGGGGTGCATTCTTTCCACTTATTGGACTTGCAATGGTTAAGATGGATGGATCGAATCAAGTGCAGTGATGAGAAAGAGGTGCTGAATGTTGCTTTGATTTATCAGTTTGTTGATTTTCCATCACTCCAAAATTAAAAAAAAGCACCATGACCACTTTATCAGTTCAATCCATCATGACAACATCTCTCACGCCCACTCACATATAAACAAGGCTGTTGTCACCAACACTATCATACGGCTTTTCTTCCTACTTGTACGCACATCATCATCAATGGCCTTTGGTAAGTCTCAAGGATAGTCTTTATGTGATCCCCTAAATGAGGGTACTCATGCATTCATTTTTCTTTGTTTTCATCTTTTATGTAGCCCACTTTGTTGCTTTACCACTTGGTGTGCTCATTAATGCCTTATAACATTTGGCTGTGTTCGTTGATGGACCCCTTGTCGTAAGTATGACAATATTCCTCTTCGTTTATATAGCGATGGATGTGATTAAAAGGATGTCTTGTATGTACTTTGTAGGCAAAAGGCAATATGGGACTCCTTTGTTGGTGACATAGGTGTACGCTGTTACAGATGCTCTCTTATTATCGCCATGGTTTCATCCGCAACCTGAGGGAGCAGGGAACAGAGATGGGCTTGGTGGCATCCTTGTGGAGCTTGTTGGATCGAAGCTTTCACCAATTGGAGTTGTGACCACAAGGTAATAATTGTACTGCTTCCTAACATTACATGGCGCTCATGGCATACCTAGAGATCAAATCTGCCAGGCAACATCTACAAGGATCAATGAAGGACGAGCAGTGTCAGGATCAATGCCAATTCCCAACAAATCCACTTGTATCCGCCCGGACCTCATGTTGATCATGCATAGCATCGAGTTTGATGTTTCTGAATGCGGCAAGGATGACCAGAATTCGCTTGGCAAGAAGGAGATTATGGAGACCAAACTTCTTTGCCCAAAAACCATGAAGGACATGTTTGTATGTACGTACATTGATCTTTGTGATCTTTTATGAAGTTCGCTATTGCTTTACTATTACAGATACTCATTGTTGTCATTGTGATGGCTAATCTTATTTCCAGGGTGGAGCCCTTTGCAAGGTGGAAGTGGTGGTGCTGTATCTTGGCTTCAATAAAGGATGGTGCATAGCGATTGGTGCATGCAGCAAGACACCTGCAGTGATAGCCTCAAGACGTTGGTACCAACGCACGGTTGTTATATCATCAAATCATCGTTTTTTATTGATCGTGTCGTTCCCATTCTCAACTATTTTGCTGACAATGTTGGTATTGTCTGTTTCGAATGGTGAGTACAAATAGCATTCTGTATACAACTTGCTGATTCATTCTATTCTTAGGGGCGAGAAGAAGATCCTGAGTCGCCAGGCTGTCACTTTGTCAATAATGCAATGTGAAGGAGAGACCCCCAATTACGCTGACGGAATTGGGAATGCCACACGGGCCGGGATCTTGGATGATGAACGAATACTGGTCGAATGCTCATCAGGTGGCCTTGAGGAGAATCTGCAGCATACGTACGGCGATAGTTTGAAAATATTGGAGTTGAGGTAAGGGTGTTTTATTCTAAGAAGAAGAGCTAGGAAACTAAGATTGGATAGTAACCAAAGGGTATAACCATACACGAGCTGGGTGTGGATGATGGGTACACGTGATTATTCATGGACACAACAAGAGTCATTGACAGCAATGCTGGTACTCAAGGCATACAAGCGGTGGATTGGATGCGAACCATCACCCTGTCGATCCTCTTTATGAGCCGTGACAAAAGATTTATTATCATTGAAGAACGACGAAGCGCTGTCATCCTTCACAGTTCAGTGAAATTGCCGAGTGGATGTCAGTCTTCCAACTCCTGGCACACTGGATGGTAAGCTGTACATAATACAAGATATGAATGGCAATAGATTAACTTTGGCTCTTCACTTCTCTTCTCCTAGGACCTCGTTCTGCACCAAGAGGAAGTGGGTGGTCTTTTGTGTTTGCAACATACTGGGATTGAATCCGTCGAAGATGGCACGATTTCAGAAGCATTCAAAAATTGTCAATTGGAGTTTGAGATCGCCGACGATGTCTAGCAATTATTTATTCGTAGCGATGTTGATGATATACTGTAAATACATATGCTGTGATGATATCTAGAATGGGGTATATTATAATGGGTCTATATGTATATGCCTGGTGGTGGATGGATTAAGCTATGCTGCCGCGTAAAGAATAGCTGGACGTTGTAGAGATGGTGGTCTGTGTTTCTACTCGATCATCTATTGCTGAATGAAAAAGGATATAGTTGAGAAGGTGTGATGATTAAGTAGTAAATAAACACATACCATGAAAGTATTCCCTGGCACTATCAACATCTTGTTGACTCGCAAATCCTTCAGCATAAAGTGCTTCTACAGCGTGCATCGCGTCCTTGACATCCAACGCACAAAGCTGTTTCCAATAGAGCAGAGCCATTGATGCATCACGTTCGACACCTTTCCCATCTTGATAGCATTGTGCAATATGCATTTTGACCTGGCGTACAACTTCAACATCTTCGGTTTCCGATTCGATTTTCAACAATTGATCAAATCCAAGGCTTGGGTTGTGATGTTCAGGATCCCATCCATATAAATGAAAATATGCCAATGCTGTCCTCGCCAAATCACGTGTTTGCGGTTGATCCACAGCGAGATGGAACCATCGGTAAGCTTCCCTATAATGTAGCTCAGCTTGCTTAGAGCATGATGCAATGTTGCCCATACGTTGGTGTAAGCGGCCAATGACAAATTCAAGTACTGGGTTGGCAATCTTGTGTGCGTATGCCTTTTCATAGAATGCGAGTGCTTTGTTCAAATCTTCCATGGTCGCCTTTGTTGTTGATGCCTTTGCATTCTCTTCGTCGTCGCTTCCAAATGCTCGCTCAAAGTACGATCCAATAAGCATGATAGATGCTTCATCATTTTGTCTTGCAGCCTTGCTGAAATAGGACATGGCCAAATCATGGTCTTGTTCAATCGAAAATGGACGTCCACGATGATCATTCACAGCCGAAAGACCACGCATGTATAAAAGCCCCACCGCACGTAAAGCATCAACATGTGTGTGACGATCAGCTGCTTCCTTGAAACAAATCCATCCACGTTTATAATCCTTGAGTTCCCAATAAACTTGTGCGAGAGCATAGGTGGCATGAATGTGATGCTTGGCTTGGGCTTCACGAAAATAGGCAGCAGCGACTACCAGATTGACTTCAAGTCCACCACGACCCATTTGATGATAGAGTCCCACATGATACTTTGCTTCTGCATCGCCACAGTCGGCTGCAATCCGATACCATTCCAAAGCACTCGTATCCGAATGTTCATTTTGTGCAAGCTGAGCAAGGCGTAGCATGGCTGGAACATACTTGACTTTTGCGAGATCAGCACCAAGCGTGTACCATTCAATGGCACGTGATGTGTCGTGAACAACCGTTTCATAACATTGTCCAAGGTATTCACATGCTTCGCACCAAATACGCCGTTCCTGGGAGATGATCAACAATGATGGATCGATTGGTATTGCTTCTTCAGCTTCTTGTAGCCATGTATGTCGATCACTAGCATCACCGCTTTCAAATCCACATGCAGCAAGACCAAATTTCGCCAACCAATGATGCTCGCATAAAAGAAAACATTCGACAGCCTGCTCATTCCGGTGCAATAGATAACATGTATATCCAGCAAAGACGCATGAAAATGGATGTCCATGGGTAGCTGCTTTGAGATAGAGTTGCGTGGCCAAGTCGAGATCATTCTTTCCCTTCGAGAATTGATAAAGCAAGCCGCATTGGAACATGGCTTCAGTGTCACCCATATCAGCTGCAGTCTCAAGCAAGTCGCGATAGTCGTCGTCATTGTGGTCTTTTTCATCATGCGCCACCGCCATCATCATCAGCGCTAATTCACGTTTGCAGCCAGCATGACCCAGTACATCGCCCTTGCGAAAAAACGATTTGGCTTGATCATCCTTATCCACATCCATCGCATGCTTGCCCAACTCATAAATCGCCTGTGTGTGGCCTTGATCAGCAGCTTCCTGGAGCCATTTTACGCCTTCTTCTTGATGCGAGTCATTGTTCTTTTGGTGTAAAAGTAGATATCCTAAGACATTTTGAATGAGATAAAAAAGCTCGCACCTTGAAAATCGATGTAAATTTACTTACCCAAAAGAAAACGTGCTTCACGGGCTTGAGTAACAGTTTCTGATGATGCTTGATGACCTCGCATTTGATCCAAATAGGGCTCAAGTCTCCGTAACTCAACAAGTGCCTCGTCATATCTGTGATGTGCAACAAGTACTGTGGCAAGTCTACAACGCGTTCGTTCTTGTATCCAATGAAATGAGTTTGACGTGGATAATCGTGGATGCTGGCTGACTAGAGTTGCTCTCGAGTAACAATCAATAGCATCAATAATGCTTCGCTGCGTTCCATATCCGTGCTCATGACATATGCCTTTAAAAATATCCCCCATTAGAATACTTGTCATGATGATGCCCTCCTTTTGATTAATTTTTACCTAGCAACTCCCATGCTTCAATCAGCGCCTCACAATCATCATGCTGCTTCTTCTTCAACGTATCAGCGAGTAGTGTCATAGATTCCTGCTGTAATTTGTGGTCTCCAATATCTCGAATAACAACCAGTCGGCATTTGGCCAAATGAGCTTGCAAGGCATGTGAAGGATAGTCGTTGGCAATCATAGTGTATTTTTCAATAGCAAGGTCCCACTTGGAACCATCCTCATACAAGGAAGCAATGAAAAAACCAGCGCTAGTGATAAAAGTGAAAAGTGAGCAATATGACAACAACACTGTTATAGTCCATGTTACTTACGAAATACATCCAAATGCTTCGGCACGTTTCATGCACTCGGTTGCTTTGTAGGTGTTCTTTGCCAAACCACGTGATCCATCGATGTAACATTGACCAAGCTGGTACCATGCCTGTGCATCATTCGAAACAGCCGCTTTTTGTAACCATCCCAATGCTGCCTTCTCTCCCAGCGTGGTGATATAGCTTGACAGCTTTCGCATCGCTTCGGTGTTGTTGAGTGCTGCTGCTTTTTGTAGCCATTCAATCGCTTGATCCTCTGACATATGCTTCATACCAGCAAGATGTACCATGGCCTCCGATACCCCAGCAGCTGCTGCATTGCGTAAAAGTCTCTCAGCATGATCAAGATCGCGTGTGACGTTGACGGGAAGCATTGAGTCATGAAGATGATAAAGCGCTTCGTGTAGCTGAGCCATGGGATGACCTTGACGAGCTGCACGTTTGTACCAGACATAGGCTTCTTCTTGTACGTTGTGTTGCATATGCTCTGCCATCATAAATTGCGCGTTTGCATCACCAAGTTGTGCTGCTAGGCGTAGATAATCAAGTGCTTTGCTGGCATTGTTGTTTGCTTGATAGTATTCGGCCAATGCAATACATGCTTCCACACATCCATCTTCCTTCTCAGCAAGTGATTCAAGTGTCTCCAATGCACGAGCATGTTCACCAGTATCTGCGTCGTGTTCCAATCGATAGGATGCCACCATACATTCTGCTTTCCTTTGATAGGATCGTAATTTGCTGTATTGCTGCTGCTGTTGTCGTCGCCGATCAATATCATCGTTGTCGTGGTTGGTGGATATTGTCGATGATGCCAACTTCTCAAGCCAAACGATTGCTTCACGTGGTCGATCCAATTCAAGTAACAATGTACCCAAAGCCATCTGTGCAGGTATCCGATTCATGCTATCTTCGTCATTGGCAGCTTTACGATAGCATTCTAGCGCTTGCTCCACGTCTCGTTGACATCCAATACCATGTTCAAACTGCTGTCCCAGCATCCCAAGTGCCAAAGTGTCACCCGTCAATACAGCCATCTTGTAATGTTCATGTGCCTTCTCATGTTGCATAGCCTCTGTTGCCAACCTTCCAAGCTTACGGTGTGCCATGCCTACAAGGTTGGCTGCTGATCCAGTAGGTTGGCCATTGGCAGTCGAAATGGGAGAACCAACCACTTTTTCCAGATGTGTTGTAGCGCGTGAAGGATCGCCATTCAAGAACCAATGTAACCCCACGTGATAGTTGACATCAATGTCGTTTGGATGTGATTGAAGGAATCGAGTGCATAAAGAAAGTCCTTTGTCGGGACAAGAGTGGTTGTACAAATGAGCAAGTTGCAGGACAGCGTCTTTGTTCTACCCGAAAAGGAGTCAGTTAGATATGCCACAATGAGTCAATAAATACGTACCTCATGATGCACCGCAGCCAATGATAACCAATGGATGGCTTCATTCTCTTTGTTGTTTGCAAGTAACATTTTGCCAAGTGTCGTTTGAGCTCTTGGATGTCCTTGAAGTGCAGCCTTGTGCAGCCATTGCTGTCGGGATTCATTATCCAATGTTGCCATGGCAACCTCATACTGTGCACCTGCATGACCCATTCTTGCAGCTGCATTAAAAAATTCGAGCGCTTTAGTAGGGTCACGCGCAACACCTTTTCCACTTGTAAGCATTTCGCCGATATTGTATTGAGCGTGTGCGATCATCTCACTCCATTGCTTTCTCCGCTTGGATGATTGAAGAAGTGGAATGATTTTTCGTTGTTCTTTGACTGCTAACCGGAAACATCGGTACGCGAGTGGATAGTTGGCTTGGCCTGATGGAGTCATGCCGTGATACAAAAATAGCGCATAGTGATAATAACATTCAACTCGCCCATGTTTGACACCCGTCTCCAGTTGTCGGTAACATTGCTGAATTTGTAGTTGAAATTCTTCCTCGTGATGATGATGGTGTGATTCTTGTTGTCTGATACTAGTGCTTGTTTTACGTCTATGGCCTTGTTGGGGTGTTGAAGGGGCCCGATAGGATGAAAAGGTTGATATCGAAGAAAGAGAGGATAAGGTAGAGAATAAATCTGTATCGGCTGCCGATGCTGTATCATTGCTATCATCCATCGTGGTCACCGATGAAATACTGGGAGGTGGTAAAAATACTGGTAAATCATGCTCCAACGTGTTGTTAATACTACTGCTTGTCGTTGTCAGAGTACTTTCAAACTTGGATTGGAACCATTCATCAACGAATTCAATAGATGGTGGTCTCCTCTGCTGGTGATGCTTCGCATTTGGATGTGGACGTGATGATGATGGTATGGCATATTGCTGCTGCTGTTGTTGGTGGTGGGAAGAAGATGGCCTGCTATGTTTTCCACCCATGAAACGAGAATTGAGAAAAAAGAGAGGATGAGGGAAAGAGAGTGGGTAGGATAAAAAAAGAGATAATGAAAAAATCAAACAAAGGGAATCAATGAATGGAAATCCCCAGAATCTAACAACGGGTTTTATAGAATCACGAGTGGTGGCGTAGGGCTGGTGGCCTTCCTGCAAAGGTACTTACCGCTCATTTATCTTGCTGTACACCATGACTCGCAGCGGGACACGACATATCATCACCACCATTAGCTGGGGGGAAAGAAAAATGATCATGCCTAATGCGTCGACTATGTGCAACCAACAAGCCCAACGCCCACAGACATTTTGGGATCACAAATCATTTAAGTCAATGAGCCGACATCATCCGCTACGTACCGCAGTTGCTCGCTGTTCGTAACTTAGAACTCTAATAGGGGTACCCAGATCTCTCTCACACTCTCACATTCACTATGGGTGACTCCGCAGTGTACGAATGCAATCAACTGCGCACGAGAAGCGTACAAACGCGCTATTTCACTCGAAGTGCACTTGTTCATTACACAAAGCAGTATTCTGAAACAAATAACAAAGGTCAAATGCTTCTCTCTGTGCTACTATTTGCATGGTGTCAGCTCACGTATGATGCATCTGATTATTGTTGTTGGCTCAGGTGACACATTGCATTAAATATGGCTTCACGTCAAGACCGATCCTTTTGATAGCCCACATTATTTGTCATACATTTCTCATTGACATGCCATCATCAAGTCCTCGGCTTCTTTTCATCCGCACACTCACCCATATAGCAAAGTAGGTTTTCCCATGATATGATCATCCTGCATGTCCGTATACATCATCCACTCCATCATTATCAAATACATCCAATCCATTGTTGGTCTCCTTGGCATCCATACAATTCTTATTAAAGGGTTATGTATATAATGAAAGTATGCAAATTGAACTTCAATATTGATTACCAAATGAATATGAAAATATCTATCTATACGAAGGTGGGGGGGTAATGAATGCGAATAAACCAATGATGACGGGTAACCTACTATGTAGATGTTGTATGATACATGATTCATGATGATGATAGAGCAAGTTCTTCCAACAAGCGATCGACCGTGGCAATGACCTAATGAGGTTCCTCTCAAGTTAATCTCATCACTCCCTTGCATATTCATCCTCCATGTTCCTTTGTTGTCACTGGAATACCACCTACCGAATGTATGTCAGCTCGTTCCTTACGATCGACCACCAGCATTGATCGAATAAGTCCTCGAAATCCTTCAGAGTAGGGATCGCTTTCAGAAGGTGGAAACTTGTATTGGCCATTTAGCACCGCTAGGGACATTGATCCCCCTACTTCATGCATGTTGGCTTCAGAAAAGGGACTTTGACCGTAAGCAGTTGCATAAAGTAAACATCCCAAACTCTATAGACAATCCACGCATTAGTACATTCATTGTTCAAGCCTTCCCCCCTAATTCCCTTGGATCATTGTGTGTGTGTGTTCTTATCCTCTCCCTTGCATCCTCATCCTGAATCCACCATCTCTACTCAGGGGATAACATGAACCCATACTTACCCAAATATCCATTTTCTCATCCAATTGTGTATTGGGTTGGACGTCGTACAATTCTGGTGAGCGATACGCCATGGTCGAGTGCTCTGCCGCCAGATCCTACAAATTGGGAAAAAGAGTTCATGGTCAGCGATGCTTGTGTGATTCAAGGGGGGATGGGGCGTAGTCATCGAGACAAACGATCCATTGTGCTACACGTACTTGCTGCAAAAGTGCTTCTCGCCGTGTTTTGATCGTTATTCGTGCTCGTGTAATGGATCCAAAGTCAGTCAAGATTGGGGTATGACCATCATCCGCAATGAGGATATTGCTTGGCTTGAGATCGCGGTGTGCTATTGGTATTCATGATACAAGTCAGTTTGTATGAACTCACAGACACGATTCTAGACATATCGGGCTATTCCGAGGATACACAAAACAACCTACCATATGGAACCAAAGTGCCTTCTTCATCCACACGCTCATCATCTTGATATCCATTCGCATTGTAATAGCTGCCAGAGACCATGGGTGATGGGATGGATGTTGATATTGGCATCATGCGTTGCTGTGTTAATTGAGGTACAACAGCCAATAGCTCGTCGTCATCTTCAGTATTGCGTTTGGGTACTTTGGGTAGTCGATAATGGTGTAATGCCCGAACGGCGTAGCAAATGTTGCGGAAGAAGCGAAGTAAATCTGGCTCAGGGAAATGCGACTTGTTCAAGTTGTTGGCATTGATGCTGTCTTGCAAATTGCCTCTCTACAATAAAGAATCAGCAACAAATCTTCTCGTACGCCTTTTTTTTTCAACCCTACTTACCTTATAATATGGGAGGAAGATGTATATCGTTTTACCCCCATCCTTTTCCATGCATATGCTTGTAGTCTACTTGTTTTGTTAGCCATCATGTAAAGGATCATAGCACCACTTCTACCTACCAAGACTTTGATGATGTTCTCATGCTGGAACATACGATACATGTCTATCTCGCGCATAGCATCAGCAACAGCTTCTTGATCCCCAGGGGCACAACGGATCTTCTTGAGAGCATAATGTCGACCTGTAGCAACATCTTGGACAAGATAGACAAAGGCATAGCCACTATACGTAAACGTTTTCCGAGTCTGTATTAGTTGCCGTTGGCCCGGGCGCATAGAGAACTCATTTTACCCTTCACCCAGCAGCTGAATCACTTTGAATGCTCGCTTGTTGATTTGCAGGGTTGGATTGGGGAAGCAGCACGATGTTATGCCGTATAGTGTGTCTCGCAGTGTCGACATTGTGGACATTGTGTTATAGTAGAGAAATGCACATGCAGATGAGAAGGAAAGAGATATGGAGGATTTTGGAAGCACATGAAATCCCGCTTTGATACGCTTTATTCTACTGCTACATATCCAGAGCATCACTCATTATAATCGAATGATATCAACAGTCATTTAATCATCATCTATATCACTTTGTATATCGTACAGCTAGCAGTCGCTGATGGATAACGTCTTTGGCTGCAGGAATATCCAACATTGTCAAGCAGGAGTAGTGGCCACCCCCACCCCATGATCCATCACCATCATCATCATCATCATCGAGCATGGATTAAGAATAGTATAGCGTGCGTGGCTAAGAAGCTCATGGTTTAAATTATGTATCCCTGCACAATAAATCGATTCAATTGAAAACGCCTTGAGCGGTCTAAATTGCATTAATGGAAGGTGCATGGGAGATGGGGCGTTGTGTTACTATAATCAGCGAGATAGTTAAGTGCGTATGATTCGTAGCGATGTTTCCATGGAAACGACATGGCACAAGCGTAGTTGTCGTCACCGTAAACTCAATTTGACTTTTGCATGTCATGCACATGGGAACCTGCCGTATGCAGTTTGCCTTGCTTGATGCTATGCCTTGTGTGTGTGTGTGTGTGTGTGTGTACGTACATACATGCACTGGTGGGAGAGCATAAATGTGCCGATCCATGTAGCATATCATTTATCACGTGCATGTAATCGGCAGATTTTCATAACACTTAGGAAACGTTATTTGGTGATCGATTTCAATCTACTGCTGCAGCATCCAAAGGTAATGCCTGTGTCTTTCACAGCTAGCACACAAAGGTTCATATATACAGCCCCATTTTATTGTAATAAGGAGCCAACGCATCCTGCAAGGAGAGAGATATAGAAGGAGGATAGCGGTGATGTAGTTCCGAGATAGTACAAGAACAGCACAGCAGGGTAACATGCAAGGGCTAACGCGGAGAACGATTCGATAATACGCGTCGAAATCAAATGACGAGAAAAAAGGGTTGCTGCTTTTACCTATTGCAGCCTAAATTGCCAACAGGGGGATAATATTCTCTTTTGCAAGAGGAGGTTCCCCAATATCATTGTTGTTGGTCATAACCAGCTATGTTCTTAACATCCTGATCACGACAACTAGGAGGAGGATGCCCATCTCACATACATAAACTGGTGGATGAAGGGGGTGTGGAAGCACCGGGATATGTATGCTGTCATGCCAGCATATTAGGCTCTGCACATCAAAAAAGCAAGATCATGTAGTCGACACCAAAATTAGTCTCATCCTTTGTCGTTCATTGCAGTATGCATGGTTAAACCATGAATACGATCGCAAAAGGATATGGGATGGCCGCTGGAAAACAATAGGAGCACTTTTTTCCTGACGACAGCTTGCCTGAGACGAAAACGGTCCTAAAAGTGTACATATTTGAGTTCTCTTGCTGCAGCCATTTAATAACAATAATCAAGTTTTGTATACATTGCGTTCTTTCTTTCTTTCTGGAAACCCACATTTTCACTTTTCACCACTTGTTCTTTCTCTAACTTATCGAACGATGGGATTTTTACGCCTTGGAAGTAAAAAAGCCAAAAAAGATACAACAGCAACCATGTCTCCATCATTCAGTAGTCCTGACCCCCTCCACATCAAGCTCAACAAGGATGAGCCGCCACTACTCTCTTCCCCAATTGCTGATAATTTCATGATGAGTATTCCCACCGAGAATCAAGAAGATCCACATGGTACCATTGGCAAGTCACTTTACGAGGACATCTTTTCAGAGCTCAATCCATCATCATCGGCTATGTCACAATGTGAGTATTTATCATTACATCAAGTTTACTACGTGGTCACTGAAAATCGTGTGTATACAGCGAAAGCCCCTGAGGAGCAACAAATTATGCGTGAATCGGTTGAAGAAGCAAGTAGTATTGCTGAATCTTCTTCGACATCCAAGGGAGGAGTTAAAGCCCATAGCTCAGCAGCAGCTTCTCTTCCCCCTGCCGCCACCACCACCATTACTAGTACTACTACCACCACCATATCCCCTACAAAACCAACACCACGACCAACAAGAAGGCGGATGTTTAAACAGCATCGCTCCTCTGTACCTGATTCTGATGCATCGGATAGTGACGCATCATCATCTAGCACTGCCATCACATCCGAAAGTGTTGGCTCACTTAAGGCTTTTGATCATACCACCAAGCATAAAATCACACCAGAGACATTAATGGCACGTATGAGAGAGCGACATCGACAAGAGTGTCGAAAATCATGGATGCCATCTTCTCCTCCTACAGCAACTGAGCAGCATCATAAGCCTACTTCTGGTGCTGGCTTTTATCGCACTGCATCTCCCTCAATGCCTGTCATGTATCCAGCCAACCCAATGATGCTCCCACTTGCCCACGAGTCTATGCAGCATCAACATGTACATCCTGGTATCGTGCGTTCAGCATCCACATTTAGTGGTTTTTATCACCCATTGGATCACCATCATCAGCCCCATCCATCATTACAATTGCGTCCTTTAAATAATCAAGGTCTACCTGTGCGAGCCATACCACCCATGTCTCCACCATTATCACCCATTACACCCATGTCTTCACCACCGCCTATGACAAGCATGCCTCAACAACAGCAACAACAACAACATATGGTATCCCCTATGATTGCTCAACAAGACCATCAGCCGTTGTTATTGAAGCAGCCATCATCAAGTCCACCACCACTTTCAAAGAGACATCATAACGAGGATGATGACGACGACCAAAATCAAGATGCTTCTTTGAAACAAGAACCAATTCAAGAAGATACTCCTGCAGATGAAGGTGACACAACAACCTTTCTTGTGGACAGGGATGTCCAAACAGACGAAGACTATCATAAAAGGGACGAATCAATGACACCTCCTCCGATCATGGAAGAAGACAGCAAGGCTGATGACAAGGTTCTATCACCTAGTAGCGTGCAATCGCATGAAGACAATTTGAAAAATGACAATGGTGGTGGTAGCGGTGGAGGTGTAAGGCAAGTGGTTCCTCTAGGCGAAACGATGCCAGTGGTGCTTGTATCTGAATCGGAGACTGGGACAAAGCAATACTATCTTTTGCTACCACAGCAATATGGTGAAACTTTGCAAAAGGAGCTTCAGCAGCAACGACAACAGTCTTCATCTCCTCAATCATCATGTTGTAATGCCGATGTATCATCATGTACTAAGGGGTTCCCTTGTCCCCATCAACGGCACCGCCATCACCACCACCATCATCATCATTGTAGTCACCACAGCAACCATCGTCGCTCGTCGTCTCCAAGCAACAACCATTGTTCACAGCATCGACGTCATCATCATTGCTGTCGTCGTCCAACAACTGGCAGTGGAAGCAGCAGGGCTGATTCCATCATTTCTTCAGCACAACGAAGCTCAGTCTAATGAGTCTCTTTTGTCACCATCATCATCATTGTCTATCTATTGTTTTGGTTATCTACCCTTTTTACTCCCTCATTGTTTCCAAGGAATAAAGCAATGTGGATTTTATTATTAGACTATGTCATTCTTTGTTCTCATATCTAGGGGGAGGTAGTAACGATGTAGTAAAATCATGCGATTCGGGGGCAGCCATTCTACCGATGATCTGGTTACTCAAATCTTTGTATCACCTCTGTTTTAGATTGATTACCTAAGTATCCACGGAAAGCCCATCGATTGTTTTTCTTTTCCCACAACATGTCATCCAACTATACTCCACCAGCTCCTGGCTCAAAGATCATCATTGTTGGTGCAGGTGCACTTGGACTTTCGACTGCATTTGCGCTCTCAGAGAAGAAGGAAGCCTATGATATCCACGTCTTTGATAGGGACCAAATACCAGTGCCTGACGCTGCTTCCACAGGTACATAGTAGTAGCTTTTTCGTTTGACAAGCAATGGCAATACTCATTTCTATGGGGTAGACATTAACAAGAGCGTGCGAATGGAATACGGCAATGACACCCTTTACTTGAACCTGATGCTGGAAGCCTTGCCAATGTGGCATGAATGGAATCGTGAACGTGCTGAACAAGGTGAATCGCCAGTGTTCCACAATACGGGTGTGCTTATGCTATGCCGCAATGGACAACTTTCAAAGTACGAACAACAAAGCATGCAACGGATTCGAGAGGCTGGACATGGTCATGCGTTGGAAGAGCTCACTACCCCTGAGAGTATCTTGGCAAAGTTTCCTCATTTCAACGATGCCGTTAGCAATGGATACAATATTGCATGCTATAACAAAGAAGGCGGTACGTTGTTCATTGTATGATTCCTTCTTCTCTTGTATACTTATCCATCTATATCCTAGGTTGGTGTCATTCGAGTGAAGCTATCAAGCACGTGTACAACAAATGCGTACGCAATGGCGTCCACTTTACTTTGGGCAAGGACAAGGGATGTTTTGAGCGTTTATACAAGGATGAAAATGGTGCAGCTATTGGCATTGTAACCAAGGATGGCGCTGTTCACCATGGTGATCGCGTGATCATGGCAACCGGCCCATGGACTGCAGGGTTAATTGGGTTACAAGATAAGCTCAGGGCAACCGGCCAAGTTGTGATTCAATTCAAGCCTCCCACTTCATCCATCTTCCATACTCCAGGCCAACCTGTGTGGTCAGCAGACGTCAGCAATACAGGCTACTATGGCTTCCCAATTAACCCTGATGGCAAAATCAAGATCGCTCGTCATGCAGCAGGCTATCTCAACCCACGCACTGATGACAAGGTCTCTATTCCTCGAACACAAACATCCAATCCTACCGATACCATTCCCATCAAGGCGTTGCGTGATTTTCGCGAATTCCTCGCTAATTTCTTCCCTGAAACCACATCTATGGATGTTGCTTATGCTCGTGTATGCTGGTATGTACATGTGTATTGCTTCTTTGAACGTTATTTGGTAACACTCTCTCCATCATGATTTAGGTATTCGGATACTGCAGATGGACATTTCCTTATAGCTCCACATCCAAAGATTGAGAATTTGATCATTGCATCTGGTGATAGTGGCCATTTGATGAAGTATGGAAGAATCGAGGAGATGCATCTTTACGTCAGCTTCTAATTGTGTCGTTATCTTATATAGGTTCCTGCCCAATATTGGTATCAAGGTTGCCGAGATTATTGAGGGAAAAGAGAATGACTACACCAAAGTTTGGGGATGGCGTGAAGCACCATCAAGTCAAAGTGATGGTTCTCGTGATGCTGCCTCGGCAAGTGTACCCATACTAGAAGATCCAAGTAATGAAGATACAAGGATGGCGACTTTGGAGGAGTTAAAAGCATAAAAGGTGTATAGTCTATTATAAAAAGAATACAATAAACGACTCTATACAATAGAGGAGAAGGGATGGAAGAATGAATGGGTGGGAAAATCGTCGTCATCTCACATCAGAATCTACATCATTTGCTGGTATCACCTGGACCTGCATTTGAGCACTGTTCATGTGAGGTGGTCGTTGTTGGCTAATCGTTTAACCTCCGCATAAGGTATTGTTTGTCCAACCACGACACACACGCCCACACACACACAGCTTTACCTTTTTCCTATTTTCTTTCCAGCACCTTCTTTCTTCAACATGAACAGCCCCAACCAGAAATGGCTGGACATTGGCTACGACACGGCTTTATGGATATTCAACATTATGTTGGAAGTCTTCTTTCGAGAGATTCGACCGCGTGGTGCACACAAGATTCCTAAAAGTGGACCGGTCATTTTCGTTGCAGCTCCCCATGCCAACCAGGTAACATGGAGTCTTTTTTCCCAATCGTCGTCTTCTTCCTACTCACTTTTTCTATCTATGTAGTTTGTCGACCCACTCATTGTTATGCGAGAATGTCATCGACGCGTATCATTTCTTATTGCTGCCAAATCCATGAAACAAAAAGCCATTGGTTTCCTAGCAAGGATGATCCATGCAAGTAAGTAGAAAAAGATGTATCCATGGAAACAGAGAAAAAGTAGTTAATCTAGAATGATGATCTAGTCCCTGTTGTACGGCCACAAGATATTGCCAGTAAAGGACATGGTCGAGTCATGCTACTGAATCCGAAATCTGATCCGCTACGCATCACCGGTGTCGATTCAAAATTCCTCAGCCAGCTACGACCTGATGATTCGATCGTGCTTCCAAGGAATGCAGGCAAACTGGTGGTGTCCAAAGTCATCTCGGATACTGAATTGGAGCTCAAGGAAGGGGTGAAGAATAACGACAAGGCACTTCAAGTATTGACGACGGCTGAGGGATCAGCGTATAAATGCTTACCCCATGTGGATCAAGATGCTGTGTACGAGAAGGTGTATGACGAGCTCAATAACGGGGAATGCATCACTATATTTCCAGAAGGCGGCAGCCATGACCGTGCAGAAATGTTACCCCTCAAAGGTAAGTAGTAGCAGGTTCCACAAGATGACAGGCGTTGGGGTTAATAGAAAACTTTATCGTTGTAGCTGGTGTTACAATTATGGCTCTTGGTGCAATGGCAAAGTATCCTGGTTTGGAAGTCAAGATTGTTCCATGTGGTACAGAAAATAGCATCTTCATCGCACAGACATCATGGTGATATACTCATATAGCTTTTCATAGGTTTGAATTACTTTCATGCACATCGATTCCGCTCACGAGCAGTCATTGAATTCGGCAATCCTATCACTATTTCTCCCGAACTCGTCGACAAGTTCAAAAAAGGTGGTGCAGAGAAGCGTGAAGCCTGTGGAAATCTCTTGGATACCATTTATTACAGCTTGAAGAGTGTCACTGTGAATGTACCTAACGACCAAACCTTGATGGTAAGCCATGATGGTGGAGAGGAGAATAATGTTGTCAGCCACTCACCTAGGCTGTTGCTAGGTTATCCAAGCTGCTCGTCGATTATACAAACCCGCCAATCGTCGATTGCATATTGCACAAATTGTGGACCTGAATCGACGCTTTGTCATTGGATACAACTTATACAAGGATGATCCCAAGATCATAGAGCTTCAGCGAAATGTGCTTGCATACAATCAACTTCTCAAATACCATGGATTGCAAGATCATCAAGTGCCTGATATCAATTTGCGAGGATGGCGCACATTCTTTTTGCTACTTTATCGAGTATTGATCCTCTTTGTTTGGGGTCTATTGGCCTTCCCAGGGTAAGTTATTTTGTGAATGACAAAAAGGCAAGGATGTTAACATCATGTGATAGTGGAATCCTCAATATCCCCATTCTTGTGGTTGCAAAGGTCATCAGCATGAAGAAGGCAAAGGGTAAAGTGAAATTTTTTATTGGCACAAGGATGAGACGCTTATCTATATTCTCTACAGAGGCACTGGCAGCTTCAACAGTCAAGGTCAAGGGCCGGGATGTGTTGGCTACATGGAAGTTTTTGGTGGGTCTTGTCTTGATCCCAACGCTTTATGGTCTCTATACGCTTGTTATGTTTGCATACACGATGAAACAAGATTGGACATGGACATGGAGGATATTGGTATCACTTGCCACGTGGAATTTGCTTCCTTTTGTGAGTTACGCAAGTATGCGGTTTGGTGAAAATGGCATGGATGTCTACAAGTGAGTACCTATGTCTTTTGTATTCATATAGGATGGTGCTAACCAACCTATTTAGATCTTTACGACCCCTCTATATGGCGTTGATCGATCCAGACAGTACTCAAAACCTACGAGAGAATCGGGAGCGACTTTCTCAAGAGATTACCCAAGTCATCAACGATTATGGTCCCAAAGTGTTCAGCGATTTTGACGAGAACAATGTATTCCGAGCCGATCCATCCGGTAACAGGGAATCAGTATCTGAGCTTGGTGAAGGTGGCAAAACCTTTTCTCAAATCGCAAGTCAATTCTTCAACAACAAAGCGCTGGATTGGTTGGATGATCGCAACATCTTTAATTTGACACGACAAGAAGAGGAAATGGAGCAAGAAGATGTGCTTCACTTTTTGGACAAGAACAGTGGCCTTATTAGTGGTGGTTCCGCTAGTGAAGCAGAATCCAGTGGTACAGTACGACGTCGTCGTCGTGTCCCAGGCAGCAACCTTTCCAAGTTGACGAGCACGAGCACAAGCAGTGAAAGTATAAAGAAGGAAGAGTAGACACCATGTACATTATCACCCTTACATCCATTTCAGTGATTCTATTAGAGGAAATCATCTCACGCACTTGTATTTTATATGATGTTATAAAGAAAAAAGTACAAAACTAATGGCGCATGTAACGCATATACTACAACAAATCCATTCCTTTATTGTGCCTTTTGCTTTTGTTTGAGATCCTTGCCACCCCAGGTAGATAACCAGACTGCGCTGAAGACAAGGAATCCAACAATCATGCTTCCAACAGATGCGTAATAAGGATAGGCAGCAGAAAGGAAACGAGGATACTCATTGTGTCGGAAAGGCTTGATTGCTACCACATCTTCGGCCAAAAGATAAGTCAATCCAGGACGCTTGTAGTTGACCTTGAAAGTAAAAACACCATACACATCGGGAAGACGCACGTGAGCAGTGAAGCGACCATAGTGATGTTCAGGAGCGACGCGGGATTGCTTCAAAGTGGTACGAATGTAGGGATCAAGCATGATGATCTCCAATTGGATATCCTTGGCTTTGTAGGGTACCCATTTGTCATTGGCATACTCAGCAATTTCAATTGTATACACCTAGCATTTGACATTAATATAATAATCTTGTCAATGATCCCTCTTTTAAGTTTACCATTTCATCCATAACACGATAAGCGTCGGGCTGACCAGTCTCATTTGCCTTGTGATGATGGTGACTCACGACCTTGAGCACATTCTTTTCTTGGAAAGTCCACTTGGTCAATTCATTGACAAATGCTGCATTGCCACTGGTGATCATTCTCTTGGCGGTGCCATTAGGACGAGTTTGCTCCACCTTCTTTTCGAAGTAGCTGTCTCATCGTGATTAGTCCCCCATACCACATAATGATCATCCTTTTTTCTTTACCTATCCGAGAACATGTCACGCGATCCAACAAATGTAGCTCGTGCTGAATTTCTTCCTTGCATAGCAGCAGCAAGATCGGCCTTGGCTGTACTCAAAATGCGATTCAACATGGGCGATTGACCCAAAGAAAGATCGACACCAGTGAACAATACGGGCACATCGATATCGTCGCCAATGACACGGGAAGAGACGTCATCGATTTGTTGCATATCAATCTCATCATCGCCTAATTCAATGTCGAATTCGGCTGCCAAATCGCGCACAGCTGAGGATGGTTCGGTGGATGTCGCTACCAACAAGTTGCCGCCCTCGTTCACAAACTTGACGAGTTGTACATTTCCAATGCTTGCATGCTTGCCAATATCTATCCTACAATGTGAATACCTTTGTATCCCTAAAACAGGTCCTTTTTACCTTTTGACTTGGATGCAAAGTGGATAACATGATCAAATTGATATTCGCCAAAGCGTTGAAGAATAGTCGGTCGGTCATCAGTTTGAGTGACAAAAGAAAGCTCGAATTCACGATCTGTTATTTATGCATAAGTCCAGGATGACGCGAAAGAATGGGGTTGGTTGTAACTGACCTTGAAGCGATTGCCAGAATCGCGAGTATTGGTCCTTTTCAGCAAGGTCGTCCAAGAGAACAAGAACGCGGTTACCGGTCACCGACTTTGCGAATATGGTAGTACAGGTGCCAATGATGAGCGCTACAATTAAGAGAAGGCTCTTCATCGTGGGACGTGTTGAGTAGGAGGAGGAGGAGGAGGAAGAGGGAAGGGGGGAGATAGGTATGTGAATTAGCCAAAGAGCAGCAAGCGCTATTACACGCCAATGGATGGATATCTCTCTTCGATTAAGCAAGCGGACTTTTTCGACTCCACACGCACATTGGATGAAATGCTGTCATGATTTCGTTGGTCAATGGATAGTCCTTTATGTACAATAATTATTCGTCATTATCATCATCCTGAGATACAAGTGTTCTATCTGCATAAGTAGCTTCTTGTTCTACATCAGAAAGGGTTACAGTATTCACTGCAAAGAATCCAATCAATACAAGGATCGCTCCTGCTGCATACTGCAATCCAGGCACAATTTGCTTGAATAAGACATCCCCAACCAGAGCCAGCGGGATCTAATAATAATAATGCATGTGGTCAATGAGTGATAGCTCGATGATAGATGAGGATGACTTACCGTTAAAGAAATGCCAAGGGTCACCACCAAAGGTGAAGTCATTAACATAGCCAAAAGCCATAGATAATCAGATCTAGTAGAAATACGAGATATGAATACAATGATCATAGCGGATAACGCATGTTGTTGACTTACAAAAACGTTCCAATGAATGCATTCAAGAGGATAGTAGCCCATAGGATTGATCCATGGGGTATCTGAAAGGTTTCCACACCGGTAAAATGGAGGATGAAGAAAAAGGGCCACAAGAGCAGGATATTGAATGCACCCACAAATCCAAAGAACAAAGGCATGTTGATACGGGATTCATCACCAATACGCAGCTTGAGTAATGTGGTATAGCAACCATAAAAGAAAGCACCTGCAAGAGCCAACATGTCGCCTAGCAACGGGGCATCACTTGGTTCACTGGTATCCGAATGCGAAACCAGCACCACTCCTAAAAAGCTGTTGTGATGTGGGGTTGATCAATACAACATCCATGACGGCTTCAATTGAATGATTGTGCATACCTAAGACATACTGCGACCACTCGCACAAGCGAGAACCTTTCGACATGGAACAAGGCACCAATAGCAAGGGTAAACAAGCCCGATGTGGATGAAAGGATGGTGCTGCTGCCAACTGTGGTATAAGCGAGACTGGCATTGGTAGTGTAATTGGCACAGAACCAAAGGATACAGAAAGCAAAGCTAAGCTTGATTGTCTCTGTAGTACTGAGTTTGCTGTTGTTGATGTCGCCATGTTGCTGTTGCTATACGAATAGAATCCGTCAACATCCTCTACCCCCCTTTTTCCTTCCCCCATCCACAGCATTGCATTCGCCTCACCTCGTTATTGGATTCCGAATCACGAATGATTAATCTATGGAAGCAGCGGATCTTGTTAGCATTGCACAAGGGATGCATGTATAACAATGCAATATACCGACTTTGCATACTCCTCGGACGACCGTTTCCTTACAAAGAGAAGCGGCAATAAATAACAGGAGAAGGTGGCGGTGTTGAGATAGGTAATAAGAAACGGCTTGTTGTATTCTTGATCGCCAAATATGCTCTATATAGAATCCAATGGGCATGCTGGAACAACATGTTGGTGGCTCTTCTTATCATGGGTGTCCTTACATTCATGGCAAATGACGAGCTGACCCAAATGAAAACGACGGCAATCAGCGCACAGACGCCACCAAAATAGCGTCGACGTGGCTGACGGTCCGTGTCTACCATGGTCGAAAAGGTATATAACAAAGAAAAGGGAAAGCTGAAAAATCCACACACAAAGAGAGAGTGAGAGAGAGATGCCGACCACACAATCACATCTCTTTGTCCCACCATTGTGCCTGACCGCAGCCTCCGCCATTGATCCATATAGAGATTTTTCCCAATCCTATCGATCGTTGATGTAGTGTGAATGACATGGATAATAAATGATGTATTGCAAGATGAGGGAGGGTCTTCATTATTATCATCTCCCTCAGATGCAATTGCTTTTCTTCTACATGCCTTGATAGGATCGTCAAGTGCGTGGATTCGATACATCAATCAATAGTAGTAGCATAATCCAATAATGCATCAATTTCGTTTGTTGATCCATCATCCTACATTGAATGTATAGGTACATATGCAATAATAAAGAAATAGAGACCTTGGTATCTTCATGTAGATCTCGAAGAAGATAAAAAAGATGCCAATTTGATTTAACTCTCCTTTCCTCGTGGATGTCACCCCTCGTAATCCCTCATTTCAGTGTATGGATGTCAATTGCACAAGGGCGGGTATCCAGGCAACAAGCTCATCTCCTTAAAAATTGCGTTGCCTTGTACACTCAGCAGTGTGATTCTGCAGTAACTGAGTATAACCACACCTCAAAATGTCAGCACAAAGTGTGTGAGAGATGTGTGATCCTTCCTTGCCAAACGAACCCCTTCCTCCTGATAGGGGTACAACTGCTCTCTTGGTTCCTATTTAACATCTCGTGCTCCCATGCGATAAACTTGCTCTCCCTCCCTTTTTCCTCTCTCTCACTCTCTTGATTTCTTTATAACCTTTTAATCTTCAGGTAAAAAAGAACGCTTTAATATCCTTCATCATCATCATCTTTACTGACGTCGCACGAATTTGAATGCAGGCTTAATTTGGCCCATCTTTTTATCACCTTCCACTTTTTATCTTTCTCACTCTCACTCTATCTCTCTCTCCCTCGCTCTTTCTTTCCGGCAATTGTGCGTCAAAAGCACCTAATTACTTTATCGTTTGAACATGGCAGCAATGGACGATTCCACAAGCAACGCGACCCAACTTGAGTCACAGCTTCAAGATGACAGTGTTCCTAATGAGCCCAGTATGCTCGAGGTAAAAAGACGACACGCTCAAGTGTTGAGGGTTGGCTTGTTTTATTGACGCTATGAGGTGGGGTTGTGAATAGAATGATATACGATCCCATGTGGAGCAACAGCAACAACGACTTGCAGCTGATCCCAAGGCGACATGCATTGATACATTGGATACTGAGTCTCTTGATGCATATTGGAAATCAGTGGTGGATAACTATCGTGACGCTGATGTATTGAGCCGGCTACTAGCAAATCGACTACCGGGCAAAGAGGGGGGAATCCCTGCAGTGCATCGTGCTGTTGTGTGGCAAGCACTTGCTCAGTCATGCGATACTCACTTGGCTGCCATGTACGATCGACTTGTCGAAGGCGATATGGGCATTTCCTCTTATGAGCGCCTTATTGAGAAAGATGTCAAGATGGCTGGTCAAGATGAATCCACTGCTCGTTTACTCAAGGCGTACAGTGTCTATGATGCTCATGTGGGCTATTGCCAGGGACTTTTGATGCTTGTTCGTCCACTTTTATTAGTGGTAAGTCGTTGATTTATCATGATCGCCCGTTTCTATTATGATTACTGATGCCAATGTTTATTCTTAGATGGATGAAAAGCAGGCGTTTTGTACATTTGTCAGGTATGAATCTCTTCTCCTTCGATCGGCATGATTGGGCTAAGAAAACAAATCAACTCCTTAGATTGATGGAAGTCCATGGACTACGCACGCTATTTATGCTCAACATGGAGGGCTTGCATTTACGCCTGCACCAATTCCAATACTTACTAGAGCAACAATTCCCTACACTTGCCGAGCACTTGACTACCCATGGAATGCATCCACCCATGTACGCTTCTCAGTGGTTCTTGACATGCTTCGTTCCTTGTCTTCCTACCAATCTGGTGGTGCGCATGTACGATTTCGTCTTTGCTCAAGGCGCTATCCTTACCATGATGAGAGTGGCGTTGTCTATCATGCACAAGCACCATGACAAGTTACTTACACTCACGACGTTTGAATCACTTTTATCACACTTGACACAATCCAGCCTATTGGACAAGGATGATGATGGCTTCACTCTTCCTGAAGATCATCAATCGGCTGTGACACCTGCTAAATTGGACACTTTGGCTCAAACTTATCGACGACAGCTTGAAGATGAGCGAGAACGTGCACAACAACTCGTGGCGGTTCAACTTGAAAAAGCCAACAATACCAAAAAGCCATCACGGCGTGAATCTTGGTTTAATTGGGCCACTACTTCTACACCAGCTACGCCTACTTCACCCACAACCCCATCATCTATCATCACAACAACAACAACAACATCATCCCCCGTTTCAGTGCTTCATCAGCAAATTGAGGACCTGGTTACAGCCTTATCTCAGCTACAAAAAGAGCACTCACAACTCAATGAGACCATGACAGCTATGAAGCTGAAGGAACTTGATCAAGACAATGAGCGTACCAAGTTATCCAAACGCAATGCTGTTTTGGAAAAGAAGATCAAGAAATACAAGTTAAAGTTGGCTCAAGTCAAAGGTGCTGCCAGTGCTGCTGCCAATGGTGAAGAAGATGGTGAACACTACAAGTCCTTTGTCAACTCGTTGAGGATGAGTGGTGACTTTGGTGCACTTGTTGCCACTGCCCTGGCTCAGGATCCAAGTCGACATGTTGAAGATAGCACAGCAAACAAGACGACATCTGAATCCAAAAAGGAAAGGTCAAAGCAGAACAAGCGCAATAGCACAAGTGGACAACAACAACAACAACAACAACCACGTGAGATGACATCGGAGCTGGCAGTTGTCAAACACGCCAACTATGAATTGAATCAAAGATATGAGCAGTTGACAGCACAATACAGCCAAGCAGAGCGAGATTTGATGGATGCTCAAAGCCGACAAGAGCAATTGAATGAGCAACTTTGTCAGCTTCAATCCACTGTTGAGCAAATGCATGTAGACAAGGAGCATCTGCTGCAGGAGCACGAGGAACTTGCCAAGGAGAACGAGGAGCTGATGGAAAAGAGTATGGCTGCCAAACGTACACAAGCTGAACTCGAGTATGAAAAGATGGCATTAGCCAAGGACATGGAACGACTTAATCAACGTATTGAAACGCTCGAGAAAGAAAAGAAGGAATATTTATTACCACGATCATCATTTACTGAAGAGGTGTTTACTGCTCATCGGCTCTTGTTTGATCCACAACCAGCAGCAGCAGCAACACGTAGACCATCAGCCCCTGCAAGTAGCACTGCTACATCTCATGCCGAACCACGATCCGAATATGAATCCAAATACGTTGAAAGCGAGTTGCGGTGCCGCGAGTTGGAAAAGTTGTTAGCCGAGGCCAAGGTCAAGTTAGCCGAATACGAAACTGCCAACATGCCCTTATCCCCCCGTGCATCGTTGCATCGAAGAACCTCCTTGATGACGACAGTGACGTCGCCCACAACGACCGATCGAAGAGACTCAGCAGAGAGCTATGCCTCATCCATTACATCAGCTACCTCTCTCGGCAGTTATTCTAATACCAAGCGATCCAGCATGTACGCACGTCTTTGGAATTACACAACTTCGGCAAATACACCTGCAAGACACTCCATTGCTGTTCTCAATAAGCAACAGATATAATCTTGATCGATCGTTCGTTATTGCTTTCATCCATCATGCGCTGAATTTTTTTAATGCTGGACAAGAAAGAATCAGCCGCCCTATCTAAGCTGCTGTATACCTTTTTCTCTTTCCCCATAGTACACATCATATGCACTCCGCCCATCCCTTTTCTTCCCCCCCCCCAAACACCCACCCATCCAACAAGGTTTTCAAAAGAGATAAACTGAGCAAATAAAAAAATCAAGACGCACTATATAATATACTTGTCGTATATGACATCAGGTTCATGATATATGTGTTTTCGATGGTCTTTTTTGAAATCGCATCATTGAATCATATGCTTTTTTGTATTCGTATCTACGTACATATAAATGGATCAGGAACGTTCCATAATCATTTTCATTGTTATCTTTCCCCAACCCCATGACTATCGAGCAACATACTGAAGCAATCCACAAGGCTACAACATGGACACGCGAGCTGACCAGTACTAGTTTAGAAGGATGGACCCCACAAGGAGAAAAAAATGGGATTAAAATATATGCCAGAGACGATGGCAAAATGATTCGAGGTGATTATGTCTTCAAGACATCCTCATTTACGTATGAACAATGTGCAGCGGTTGCCACTTCCACTCTCGTACGCCCAATGTGTAAGCTTCCAAGAAGGAGTACTAGAGGAATTATATATCTCACTCCTATGTTTTACTTTACAGGGGATCCATCATTTGACAAAGCTGAACAACGTCGCATGGTTGGACCAGGTGAAGGATTGTATTGGACAAAATACAAGGCACCATGGCCTGTTGCACCCCGAGACTTTTGTTTATATGCCAAAGTGGATCATTTCGAGGATGAGAATGCTATCATGGCGACGATGACTTCAGTAAAAGATGATCAAGCAGTACCACCTGTTCAAGGTTGTGTACGAGGCACGCTTCATATCGCAGGATGGTATATTCGTAAAGATCCACAAGGCATTGCTATGACCTATGTCAACAAGACCGAGTTTGGGGGCTCATTGCCTGGATCCTTTATGAAGCTAATGGCCAACCATATTCCTCAAACTATTGTGCGAGTAACCGAGTTCATGAACAAGTACGGGTTTCCGCCCTTGCATCACAGTGCATGCATCAAGAAAGAATCGTTTGATCAAAAGAAAATGGCGTATGAAGCAACCATCAAAACGGATAATCCCAAAGATGTTGTTTGGTACTTATCTAAACAAATGTATCCCAAAGGTGTTGCCATCAAGACATCACCTGCTGCTCTTCAAGATAAAGTGCAAGTACAAACTTCCGAGAATGGACATCATCGTGTGACCCTCCCTCAAGTTCATCAACCTGTTACCATCACAATGACAAAGAAATAGGAGACATGTGTATAGCGTATAAAGCAAAACATGGCAACAACAGGCATATTTGTTGTTTATTATTACATGGATGTAGTGGGATGATTGGCAGTGCAGTGCATTGCAGATGTGTGTAACCATGGATACAGAGAGAGAGAAAGGAAAAAATGGCGGGATTGTGGCACTACAAGCATTGCTGGAACACTTCTTTGTATATACACCACCGGAATGAATCTGTACGTTGCCAAATTGGCAGCCCAAGAACGGCCATGTTTTGTGTGCAGCAAGTTCACCCAAGTCGTCTTAACAACCGCCGACAACAGCAATGCAGACTGGTTCTACATTTGTCGATCCCATCTTGGCGACACTCATTTCTGTACAAAGACCGGGGGTTCCTCCTCTCCATCGCCCAAATCACCAACAAAGAAAAAGTTCAACAAAGACGATCAGCCACCAGTCGAGAGTGATAGCGTATCTGATTTGGTAGCAAGTATTGGATCAGCATGGAATGCTTGGAGGAAAAAGGACAAGAAGGATGAAGACAAAGAAAAGGACAAGAAGGATGAAAAGGATGACAATGACAAAAAACACGAGGATAATGATGAGAAGAAACAAGATGAAAAGGATCCTTCAACACCAACAACACCCACGTTCACTACTCCTTCACCACCACCTCAACCTATTCGTTTTATATTACAACGCGACTATTATTATCTAAGACAGCGTGAGATGACAAGACGTGCAGAGAAGAAGCGAGCAGGAGAAGCACTCAAATCATTGCAGTTTCCCCAAGTACCCAAGGAACGGCCAAAATAAGGGTGAATTCCCCGATGTTAGAAATAAAACTGCTATCCCGAGTTTTTGGTACCTCTGATCTAGTCCCCTTAAGAGAGATCATGTTCAAGAGCAGAGCAATAAATATATACCCTTCTTACTATAAGTCATATGCTTCGTATCGGAGGAATGCATAAATGGGGAGGACTACTTGATCATTTTCGAACACGAAAACAACCCGAATACGTGGAACAGCATTTATGAGTGGGAAGATAGATCAATACAATAGCTTTGCATACAAACTAATTATCGCCGATTCGTATGATTACTTGATCTGTGGAATGTTTTGTGTGAGAAAGAGTGGCGATAAACAACGACATGGTGCACTCCATCTTACGTACAGGTTTCGATCCTAAGTAGGTCTATCCCAATTCCAGGGCTGATCACATACATACACAATCTTGCCGATTCGGGATATTTCTTTTATGTTGTCATCCTTTAAGAACAAGCTAAATTCGGATAAAATCGAGCAGCGTACATCCACATCTCATTTTCTTTGCTCTTTGCTTCCCCACAAATGAAGTTCCTTGGCATAACCGCTTATGCAGCAGCATTGTTGACATCCATCTACGCCTTGCCTGGTGGGCATGGACATGGCAATAAGCACGAATGGCATCATAAAGGGAAGGAGCATAAAGAAATCCACCATAAAATATACCCTGGCAAGATCACCACCATCACTGATTATGTCGCCACCGAAGTTGAGACAGTAGTACACACAGCGTCACCCGCTGAGGGAACTGGTGTTGGCATTGTCCCTGGCATAGAGGAATTGCCTGGGGAATGCCCATTAACACCCAATACTCTATTTGGTGAAGAAGTAAATCATCATCATCACGCTTTGCTATTACTATATACCTCCTAACACAGGTTCTTGTTGATAGCTATTGCACTTTACAGGTATCTTCTACGGAGACTTCCACACTGTAAGCCATCCATGCAAATGCAGAGGGGTAGATTTGATTCTATAGAGGCGTTCGATTCATTGATTTTTTACATAGGGTGGTACAGGGCAAGACATTCTTGGTCCTTTGGCTGTTGGTGGCAACTTCCATGCACCCAACTACATCGTTAACGCCAACCATGATATCAATTGTGCTGCCGATGAAACCTCTTCCTTTGATAGTATTGGTCTCGTAATTGGTGGCGACTCTACTACTTCCGGCACCCATGTGCGTGGCGATGACTTGATTGCTGGTGATGGTGATGAGAGCCAATTTGACCAGCAATTGGCAGGATGCCGTGTGATTGTTGATGAAGCCACGGGCTACTTTGATTTCCCCCGATCATCCAGTGATGCTGAGGCATTGTCACGAACATTGGCAAGCTTGGATACCAACCATGTCCTGGGTACGAATGGTGTAGTGTCATCATTGCAGGATAACGAAGACGACAACTTTAAGGTTTTCCACTTTAACACGTGCCGAGCTGCATCGTGTGGTGTGAGTGATAGTGTTGCATCCACACCTGATGAAATTTTCTTTGGCATTGGCAATTGGAATGGACCCAATGGTGATGTCCCATCCAATACCCACACTGTAGTCTTCAACGTAAGTGGTATTATAGCTGCATGAATTTTCTTGGTGTAACCCCATCACATGATTAGGTACCTGTTACTTCAGGCGACACAATCACTTTACGTACAAATGCACCTACTCATGGCTTCAACAGCTGCAATGCCATTTATAACTTTTACCCTGTTGATGCAAATGGCGACTTTGATCCTAATGGTGAAATCACCATCCATCGTGAAACAGGATCACAATTCGAAGGATTAGTGATTGCACCACGTGCTCACATTCGTGATGGCAATACAGGCAACTTTGCAGGCACAGTGGTTGGTCTTGATTATGATTGGCTTGATCAATCAGCAGGCGTCGAAATCCATGATTGGAGAGCGGCTGGATGTTCTAATTATGCTGGTTGCCTTCCAGGTGATGGTGGTAATGTTATCGTTAACCCACCAGAGCCCACTATCACCGATGAACCTTCCGTTACACCACATCCTGATACCATTACTGTAACGCCTGTCCCAGGTAATGAACCTACAGAGACCAACGTTGCTTTTGAAACTAACACAAACGAACGAAGAGCCCACTTGTGATAATAATGATAGAACAATCACAACCACAACCACCGAGACGACAACGGAGTCCACTTGTGATAATAATGATAATGATGTTGCAAGAACAATCACAGTAACAACAACTGAAGCCACTTGTGATAACAACGCTAGAACAATCACCCTCACAACAACCGATACGACCACTGAGACAACCACCGAGACAATTAAACAACCCGATACAGCCGATACCATTACTATAACAGAGCAACTTCCTGGTCCTACGCAAACAGTTTATGTCATTGGCGAGAAGAACAAAGGGGATGATGGCTATCATGGTGGTTACGAGAAGAAGAGCAAAGAGAAAAAGCACAAGAAGAAAGGAGGCAAGGGCTATGATAAGTTTGACAAGAGCTGGTAATAGCAAATTAGAGTGGATATGTAAGGGTAGTAGTAGTACCTATAGAGGCAGATGATAGATAGCAATAATAATATCCCCCAACAAATACCTTTACCTTGCTTTATCAAGTGCGAGTGAAAAAGATGGGTCATCATTGTGCATAGCCCTCATGATTACTTAAGTTTCATTGTTGGTGGAATGGATGCCGAATCTTTGAGTTCGTGCGTTTTATGTAGATCAACTGAAGAATTCGAATGCGTGACCCCTCAAGGGCTTTGGTAATAATGATACATTGCTATTCTCGTAATGATAAAAGCTTCGTTGCTATTGTATCCCTGGATCCAACCTAGTATCCAAGGCAATTGGCAATCTCTGCAACCTATGTTGAAGCAAAAGTTTTAAGGTTTTCAACCATTTTGGGGATGCATGAAAGGAGCGGCCGGTGATTTACTGAGCAACTATAATAAGGATAGCACAAAAACCTATAGCTATACTCTTTATGAGCTCTATAAAGGTCGACACAATATGAACGTTGTTTCTTTTTTCCCAAGGAAATTAGCATGATAGCCGGCTATGAAACAAAGGCAATAATCAGAGGATACTAATGAGCAATTCGAACTATCATTGGAATATACAATCGCCCTCATCGTCGATGCTAGATCATTTGACTGTACCAGCAGCCCGGGTAGTGGAATTTGGACCAAGCAAATCTTAAGTCTTGCTTATTTGAAATATTGATTAAGTATCCAGCATTAACAAATAGAGCATCATCATGGTTACGGCAGCGTTTTGATATCCTCATACGCCTATAAATACAAGCAAGCACTGTGTATTTAAATGTCAAGCAACATTTTACTTGCAAGCATAACATTATGAAGTTTCTTGGTATCGGCATCTATGCCGCAGCATTATTGGCATATACACAAGGGTTGCCTGGCAACAGGTGGCATCACAAGGATAGATACGAGGATGTAGAAGAAATCCATTACCAAGTAGTAACCGAGAAGCCACCACCTCCCATCAACGAGACTACGACTGAAGAAGTACCAACAAGCGGGGTGTCTCTAGTATCAGACGTCGTTGAATGTCCTGCGGTTGGCGATAGCTTGCTTGGTGAGGAGGTAAGAAGGTGTACATAGCATCTCCACAAAGTTGACATGCAAAAGCTAAAACCATCATAACAAAGATACTTCACTTTACGGGTATATTCTTTGGCGATTTCTTTACGGTACGTTTTATTTCAAATACACATTGATGATGGTGCTATGGATGAGCATCGCTAATCTCAATCATTTGAAACGCAAACAGGGTGGTACAGGGCAAGACATCCTTGGTCCTTTGGCTGTCGGTGGCAACTTCCATGCACCCAACTACATCGTCAATGCCAACCACGATATCAATTGCGCTGCCGATGAAACCTCTTCCTTTGGTAGTGTTGGTCTTGTCATTGGTGGCGACTCTACTACTTCGGGTACCCATTTGCGTGGTGACAACTTGATTGCTGGTAACGGTGATGCAGGCCAATACGACCAGCAGTTGGCAGGATGCCGTGTGATTACGAATGAGGGCACAGGCCACTTTGACTTTCCTCAATCGATCCAAGAAGCCAATGACCTTTCTCAGCAGCTTGCAGCTCTTTCTGCCAATCGTGTCTTGAATCGGGGTGGTGTGGTGACCGCAGTGCCAGGTGTCGACAATGGTGGTGTCCACGTTTTCCAGTTTAATACTTGTGGCAATGGATCTTGTGGTTCGAGCGATCCTGAAGAGATATTCTTTGGCAATGGTAATTGGAATGGTCCTTCTGGCGATGTACCTGCTTATACGGACACTGTTATCTTCAATGTAAGTGTTGGCTGCTGCATGAATTTCTTCCTTTAGTGTAACCTATTATCATCCTACTGTAGGTCCCTGTTACTGCAGGCAGCACTATTACCCTCAACTCAAATGCTCCAGCCTATGGATTCAACAATTGCAAAGCAATCTTCAACTTTTATCCTGTTGACGAGAATGGCGACTACTATCCTGATGGCGAATTCACTATCAATCGTGAAACAGGCTCGCAGTTTGAAGGATTAGTGATTGCACCTCGTGCCCATATTCGTGATGGCAATACAGGCAACTTTGCAGGCACAGTCATCGGCCTTGATTACAATTGGCTTGATCCTTCAGCGGGAGTGGAGATCCATGATTGGGCTGCAGCTGGATGCCCGAGCTTTATTGGTTGTCTTCCAAAAGGCAACAAAGAAGTACCAGTGCCAACACCTACTGATAGTGGGGTCGAACCCGGTGCTACCAATAGCGATAGTGTGACCGAACCCAGTGCCACCGATAGCGAAACGCCTGCACCTACAGGAACATTGTATATCGTTGCAGAGGAGAAAGAATGGGGTCATTATAAAGGAAAAGGAAAAGGAAAAGGACACAAAGGATCGAAGGATCACAAGAAGCATGGAGGGAAAAAAGGCCATGATCACCAAGACAAGTGGTAAATAGGTGCAGGTCACCCTTTGATACTTATATATCTCTTTACATCCTTAATTTGATTGTTCCCATTGTTCACAAAATAAATTGCTGATTTGACGTTCTTGATTATCCCAACTCATACTTATTAGTAGTATCTGCCACGATGTATGATATAGTGAAACGTGTGCATGGTATGTCTATTTACAGTACTTCACAGGTCATGTGTGTGTAAATCAAAGCATTCTTTGCCTTTGTCTTGGCAATAAGATGCTTGTTGACGAGGTCCCGTCTCTCGTTGTCATTTAAAAGAGAGCCTATGTAAATGAACCCGTTCTCCTGGTTTTGAGGTGAGCCTCGGATATGTCTTATGACGATGACTATGGGAAAGTAGCTAGAAGCAGGCCTTTCTTTATTACCCACTTGCATCAATTACGTAGCTAGCTTGTTTATGGAAACTTGTACAATGGAACAATGAGGAAAAGAGGGTATTTACAAGCATGAGATGTTTACAGTAGTAGAGATTGCATTGCAGGGGGAGAAACAGCGAGCGATGGTTATAATCGGATGTGATTGATTTGAGCTTGCATGATGGTATAGAGCATGTTGTCGTTCATGTAGTGGGATCACTTTGATGGTCGTGGTTGCTGCTGTATGAAGCGTGCTGAAAACAGGCAATCACCTTGTTCATGTTGATTAGTGAAATAAAGAGGCGCATATGTTTCAGGGTCAAAGAGTGTTGGATATGGACAATCTCTCATATGGTATACAGAGGGCTTGGACACGATTAAGGATGCAAATGTGGCAGACTTGCCTAAGTATCAAAAAGTGTTAGAAAATGGCAAACCCGAATTGGTGAAGGGGGCTGCAAAACACAAGCTTACCTACGACAATGAAAGGAAATATAGCCTTGGATTTGTTCTTGCCGTGTCCATGATCAATCACGTATACCCATCATCTAGATCCAGCTCGTGTATGGTTGCCCTGGCTACGATCCAATCTTAGTTGCCTTGTTCTTCTCTGATTAAACACATCCACACAAAGTAACACTTACTCTTATTACAAATCCTACCATACACACCACCACGTTACTGATTGTTGCTGACATAGGTCACCTATAAGGGACGTACGTTGCAGGATATCCATCAAACGAATTGCCCATAAAGGTTCACCAGGCGATGACATAAACTTGTTGACACCAAAAGATATCGGCGTTGCATGTTGATAATGATACGATCCACCCATAAGCAAAGAGTTCGATGAATGCTCTTCATAGGAATTGTCACAAACGAGAACCACCAGATGTTCGAAAAATTTGGATGACTCCTAAGATATGGACGTTTTGCATGCTGGCTGTTGTTGGTTGATGACATGATTCACTTGCAAGAGACGTGAGCTGGTAGAGTCCCATCAAAGGAGCTGCCGGTAATAGAAAGCCGCTACACCACTCCCATGCGTACTGTTGTACAATGTGCCACGTGCCACCTAATCCAAACTTGCACATGCATCTCGGCAGGTAACTACATCAAAAGACTATATGAGCACAAGTCTTATCATGCGAAATGGTTCGACCTTACCTTAATAAGAGAGCCAAATACAGTATCACAATGACAACAACGACAATGAGAGTAGGATAACAATGAAACACTAAAGATCATCATAAATATTAGCACATGAGGGATTGCTCACTGGATAAGGTCATCCGCTATGATACTTACGTCTGATCGTGCACTGAAGGTGCCAGCAATCATAGTGGTCTGTGATCAAGAAAAGAGTGATAGAATTGCTGGGGCCGTGATGAGCTGATGGATTGTGGGGGCGCCTTCACAAAGAGTCTCGATGAACTTGATTGTCCATGCATAAATCACGATTTGAGATGAACAAGCTGGTAACATCCATCATCCATCAGTTGTGCTTAAGGGTACGTGATATAAGGTGTTCTTTTGAGAGGTCGTCTCAGAACGGAAAGCGGTGGCATCGTCATGATAAAGGAACAGCATTGCAAATTGAATACGATGCGGGTGAATCGCGTGGAGTCAACGAGGGTAATTGTGTCATTGTATTCTTGGTTGTTGCCTTCATCCATGACTGCATAGTAGTTGCTGCGTGATTAAACTTGAGCATCATCCGTGGCTGTAAGACGCCTTTCGTCAATTCCATCCAACCCATCTCCATCCTTTGGTGTATCCACGTGGTATGATCCATCCTTCATTCATGCTGACGAAGTCCCAAGTAATCAAAACAACATCCCATGATTCCTCATCATTGCGCTTGATTGCACCCATCCTCATACTATGTATCCATTGCAGTTGTTATGTATTCGATAGCTGATAAGTATCATCCATAGGGAGTCGTATGTATTGATGCAAGCTGATGCGCGTAAATAAAGCTGCTTCTGTATGGTGGCTAATTTGCTGTTCACGTAAACAAGGCTGTAAGGCGAGTTGCTTCAAGTAAAGAACGCTGTTTGAGACCAAGGAGTAAAAGCCTTGCTAATAGCAATTGCTGCAATGAATGCTGTTTCGATTGGTCGTGGTAGACGAATGTACAAGAGAAGGTGAAGTGTCAAGAAACGCGGGTGTTGTAGTGGGGTGCACACGCCATGGACTTGCCATTCAGGCAAAGACAATCGGTTAAAGACAACGGCAGGCTTGACATGATGGGCTGAAGCAGGATGCAGGTGGTAGTTGTATACTTGAATGCACCAACAGTTGAGAATGGGAGGAAGAGGGAATAAAGTGTGAGTGGAAGAAGTGCGAAATTAAATAGGCGACACCTCTTGTATAAATGCATGAACAATGTACATCCAAACCTTGATTATGAGATTGCCCCTCGTGATCCTGAAACTTTCAGACAAGGTGCTCGTGAACATACTGATCACGTTTCTCTAAAAAAGACCTCATGCTTCATTATAAAGATTGGAATGGGAGGGTATAATGTGGGGTTTACTATGTAAGTCGGAATGCAGGTCAGCCCCAGATTCATGATTCATCGAAACACTATGTAGTATCTTGGGATTCCCCATTTCGAACCTGAAACTTTGTCAGAAGGTTCGCTGCAACATGCTGATCAACTTCATTCATTTAAAAACCATACACTTCATTAAGGATGTCTTGAATGCGGGAGTGCCCAAACGGTGGATGATGGGCAACAAAAGAGCGGACGGCCCACCGCCCCGAAGTTGCTCACTTCCAACTTGAAAATTGATCAGAAGGGTGCTCTCGAGCATGCTGATCAACTTTTTCTAATAAAAACTTCATGCTTCATTTGGGGATTTTGAATGGGGGCGTCCAAAAGTTTGAAAGACGGAGACATTCGCAGGGTCTGCGAATTCAATAATTTTCACGTTTGCTGTTTCAGCGTAGCTCAGTCAAATCAGCTCGGATCAAGAAACTTGAATGATGGAAATGCTCGGCTGGAGCAGGAGAATCGTTCACATGTCATAGAATGGGCAACAGTTGGAAATGGGAGGAAATGACTATTAGCTGCTGGTACTGAATAGTGTATGTGGTATCATACATTGGCCCTTCCATTCATGCAAAACTGCTGAGTTACACAAACACGCCCGTCTGAATCTTTTGCTCTATCAGAGCATCTCCAATGGTGGAGCTAAGTGCCAAATTGACTCCGATTTTACACGGTCTGATCCCCAATGGTGGAGTCAAGAGCAGAGTCAATTTACACGGCGAGTCAAAATTTCTGCTAAACCGTGTAAAATAGACGGCGCCGACTAAACCGTGTAAATACCGCGTCACATCTTTTATGCTATCTCCTTTAACCATATCAACACTTTCTAAGCATTACGTTATCTTCTTTAACCATAACAATAAATGGGTTATAATTCAATATATATATATGCATTGTGTCTGTGAAGTGAACCTTGACTCTTAAACTTCTCTTTTATTATGTCTGGCAGCAACCCTGAATCTACTACTTACCCTTTCTCATCTCACCCTGAACCTACCCTTTCTCGATCATCGTCTTTGATGTCAATGGATAGCCCTTCACCTGCTGAAAATGATCCATCATCTTCTGCCTCATCAAGATCAAGATTTAGAGGAAGAGGTCAGACCTGGTCACTTAACGAGGAAGTCTCTCTATGTCAAGCCTGGGTCCATATTTCCGAAAATCCTGCCATTGGTACCGGCCAAAACAGAACTGGCTTTTGGAAGTCTGTTCATGACCATTGGCGCTTGATTGTTGATAATCGTAGTCCTGTACGTTCGGTTGAATCATTGGAAGCACGGTGGAAAGTTATCCAGTACGAAGTCTCAAAGTTTATCGGCTTCGTTGAGGCGGCTAAAGGTCGCAGTGGATGCAATGGGGCTGATGAGGTATTACAAACAATGCTGATACAATGATGGTACTTATCTTATTATTCACAATTATAGATCAATGCTGCCCGTCAACTATTCCGTGAGAGCACAGCAGCAGCTGGAAAACCAGGAAAGGAGTTTCAGTTCATGCATTGCTATGAGTATCTCAAAGAATGCCAGAAGTTCAGCACTCGATATATACAAAAAACGCAGCCAGCAGTTGTCGAGTCGGTCGCAGATGAAGTGAGGCCAACGGGAAACAAGAAGGCAAAGGCCAAGCAAGCTGAAGAGCATGCCAACAAAAGAAAGGCTGACGAGTTGCTCGAAGTGCAACAGGAACTTTCAAAAATTGCACGCCAAAAGCTTGAAGTCGCCCAAGAAGCATGCGAGCTTGAGATTATGTCAAAAGATACCTCGACCATGAATCCTATCGCCAAGCAGTATTTTATGATGCGCCAACAGCAAGTCTTGGACGCATATATGAAGAAGCAAGTACAGTCTCAGTCCGTATCGAATGGTGATGGTGGCAATGGTGATGGTGATGCTGGGTTCGATACACAATAGTCGAAGAGCTAGATAGTAGCCATAAGGTGTGATAAAGTGATTTAAAAAAACAATGTAACTCAATCGTTTAAACGTTGTTATTGCCATAGCATTGCCAAAGATGCTCGATTAAATCATGTCTCAGCTGTAAATGGGCACTTCGATCCTTGATTTCTTCCCACCGTCTACTATACTCTCCAAGGGTAACCGGATTTCTATCGATCGAAAGCAGTGGTACATGATCTTCTTCCAGATCTTCAACAGGTTCAGCACGTTCATCTTCAATAATCATGTTATGGAGGATGATGCATCCTCGCATAACATTGATCACGTCTCGATGCTTTGAAAGCCGTGCTGGATTGCGAACGATGAGAAATTGTTTTTGGAGCACTCCAAAAGCACGCTCCACATCCTTGCGAGCACCTTCTTGCATCTTGTTGTAGTGCTATGTACATAAGTTTCCAATCATTGATCAGGCTGATGGTATAGATAAACGTATGCCACGTAGACTTACCTCTTGCTTTCTACCAGCTGGACTACTAAAACTTTTCATCATGGTGGCCCAATCAGGGTAAATTCCATCAGCAAGATAGTAGCCCATATGGTATTCGTGGCCATTGATGGTATACGTTGCCGAAGGTGCGTTGCCTAATGCAATGTTGTTAAAAGATCGGGTATTAGAAGCATTAAATGATTGATGGTTTTCACCTGAAGCAATGTTGTTGAAGAGATTTGATCTATGAAGGATGTTGAGATCGTTCAAAGATCCTGGGTGGCCAATACTGGCATGCCAGATCCACAAGTCATAAGAAGCAACAGCTTCTAGAACTGTGCTTGCATGCTTTGAGCGACCTGTGTAAGCACCATGCCAAGCAACAGGGCAATTGTCCCATTGCCAATGCATACAGTCAATGGAGCCAAGCATTCCAGGAAATCCCCTTGCTGCATTTTCTGAGAGCAACCGTTGGACGTCATGTTGGTTGGGTTGTCGCAAGTATTTGTCACCGAAGATGGTATTTAAGTTTTCACAAAACTTGATCAATGACTCCAAAGCGGTGCTCTCCGCCACTCGAAGATACTCATCAGCAGTATCTGCACCAATACCGTATGCCAATTGACGCATGACAGCAGTAGCCCTCACCAAAGGGGACAAACCAGGCTTCATAGCAGCATCATAGCGCTGAGTGAAAAGTGTATCGACCTTTTTCATCTCTTCGACTATGTATAAGAATAACCGCTTGGACATTCTGAAGCGTCTACGAAAGTGCTGTTCGGTGTAAACAGGCTCGGGAGCAAAGTAATCTCGCACTAAGCACTCATGTGCAAACTGATGGTTCCGGTAGATATACCTTCTACCAGGATGTGATCCACCACGTACTGGAATCGTTTCAGAGTCGAGCAATTCATTGATATGGCGAATATGTTCAAGGCGTTCGAGTTCCTCATCATCTTCATAGAGCAATTCAAGTATACGACGAGTAAACATAATAAGAAAGAGAAAGAGTGAAAAGAGTTGGCGTGTTGTACAAGGTTTGATTTATTTGATCAACTCAGATATAGAGCCTAACCATTGTGAAATTTGGCATTTTTATGGCCATCCTATGATAGCACCGGAGGTTGTTACACCAAACTTAGCTCCCAACCATTGGAGATGCTCTCAGGGCCTAGCTATTTGGCATTGAACAAAGACCACTTCTCATATAGCATCACGCACACAACATAAAGACATCCATATCTCCAAACTTTACAATGAAACGTGGGGTTTTAAATAGAGCAATGTGCTCGGCTTGGCCAACAGCACCTTGTGTGAAAGTTTCGCGTTCAATGTCGCAAACAGCCCAAAAAATATTTTTTGGTCGTCGTCGTCGAAGAGGTCGACCCCCAGATCCAGTTTGGCTGGTAGCGACATTGCGAAATCTGGGATTGGCAAGCTTGATCGTGCAACTTGCACACAAGGTGCAGTTGGCCAGGCCGAGCACATTGTTCTATCAAAGATCCCACGTTTGATTGTAAAGTTTGGAGATACAGGCACCTTTATGTTTGTGTGCGTGATGCTATATGACAAGTAGTCTTCGTTCATTGTGAAGTAGCTGGACCCTGGCAGAGCAAAAGATACAGAGGGACGCGTTTGTGTAACTGGGTTAAAAAGTTTGGACTTCAGGGACCATGCATGACAGGTACGCAACCCTCATTTTCAGGTCATACATTGGCAGCTAATAGCCACTTTTGTGCATTCCCAACTTTTGTGCATTCTATTGTAGGTGGACGATGCTCCTGCTCTAGACATTCATTGCCATGATTAAAGTAGGTTGATCCGAGCTGATTTGGTTGAGTTACGCTCACACAAGATTACATCGGTTGAGCTAC